GAATTGAGATATTGAAAATGTTATAACGGTATCGACTAGGTGTATGGTGTCAAGTTAGCACTACATACCATTTTTTCTTAAAAAACGAGAGCTACAAATTTTTTCTTTCCACAACAAATTTACAACAAAAACACTACAATTAATGCCGTAGTTAACTTTTCCAAATTCGAAAAGTGTAGTGCTAACTTGACACACGTCATTCGGAGACACCAGGGTTGAGTTGTGCAGGGGTAAATCTCAAATCACCACCGATAAATCAACCGCCAAAACCATCGCCTTCAAGTAAAATAAATTTATTTTCACTTAAATTGCTTTCGTGAAACTGACCTTTAAGGTATTTCGCTTGAAATAAGTGTATGTATATTGGATTTCTGTAGAACAATTATACGCATCCATTTTGAAATTGCCACCAACTATACGATAAAGTTTCTTGGACAGATTTACTATAGAACCGGAGTATTGTTGCCGCCAGGGAGTGAAAAGGAAATGTTCTTCAAATTTATTTCGTTGTGAGATTAACCGTTCAATGAAATGTTACACAATTAGAGAATTTCAAGAACTTCATCACGGACATAACGCTTTCGTTAGGTTATTTAAGGCGGAAAACGACCACCAAACCATAATCTTAGCCGATGAGCGTGACAATGGAAATCGTAAACGTGAATTGTTGGTCTAAAAAGTTCAAGTTCAAGTTTCAATAAAAAAATAAAAATTTTGTGCGGGACGAAGTTCGCCGGGTCTGATAGTATTATAATATTTCATTTAAACTAATTAAGTTAAATTTTTAAAAAGGTGGCAACCCTTGTGAAATACTTCAATATTATTCAAAACTTTAAAACTAAAGGTTTCTCAACAATATTTTGTTTGACAACCATATTTTAATTCTTCAGATGGCTCGCGTATAATTAATTTAAATTTTACTTTTCAAACAGGTGGCAAGCCTTTTCAAAATATATTAAACTACAGCTTTTTTAAGGCTCTTGATATCCATTTTTTAAATATAATTTTCAAATAAATGAATCCCTTAATTGAAGTTGAATTAGATTTTTTTAAAAGGTGGCCGCCCTTATCCATGAGTAGAGAATAATTTTATATATCTCCATACCAAGTTCCAGTAGTCTACCAAAAATATTTCCTGAGAAATGCAGTATGAAAAATTCCGTTTGTATGGGAGGTGCCATGCCCTCTTGCCTAATCGAGTTTAAATGTATTCTATATTTTAAGTTGGGCTAAATAACAGTAGTGTACAAAATTTCATGATGATCGTTTGAATAGTTAAAGCGTGAAAGCGTAGCAAACAAACAAACTCACTTTCGGATTTATAATATTAGTAAGGATTTAAAATATATATCATGTATATACGAAAACAAAAATTTCCCTCTCTACTTTCCCATTAACAATTCACAATAGAGCAGTTTTTTCACTTAACAACACTACACTTCAGGTCGCGTATGTTTTAACCGACCTGGCTGAACTCGGATAAATAGCCGAGTTTGTGTTGTTGCTTTGCGTGTATTTCGTCATTTAAGCGAGTGTTCTTTTGTAGCTCCGTTGCAATATTATATTTTTTTTTGACGCCCACATCGAAATTTTGTGGGAAATATCCCTGAAAATTTTAATATTAATATTAAGCAAAATACAGCCCCGTGAAATATGCAACACCGTAATTTCTACTAAACTTCGTAGCTGAATTTCTGAAAAAAGGTGGTGTAATTTTTTGGTAACAAAATTTCTGGGTTACAGAATGTTCTGTAACAAGCAGAATAGGCCTGTTATAGTCCAAAAGAGGCACCGAAAATCTGACAAGGCAAAAATAATACGAGTTTCTTAATAAAGATCTAATACTTGTGATTAATAAAGAGTTTTGCCTTGCTTTAAACACGTAAAATCTTGTATTCAAAGTTTTACGAAATTAATACTTGAAAAACATTGCTAAAGGACTTTTCTCCTCATGTAAAATGTGTAAAAAGCCACATAGCAACTTTTCACTCTACGCTAGCGGTATGTTAAATGTAATTATATGAAAACAAATAATAACACAGGTTTACAAAAAAAAACCTTATGCATATTAAACCAAACCTATATATCCCTATGTTATTCGACACGCTGAATGCGAAGCCGAAGTCCGTTAGTCTCCACCACGTCAGGTTCGTGGTCAGTTGAAGGTAAAGTAGGGAAAAATTCATTGAATAAACATGAAAATTCATATACATGAGGTTTTACATTCGCTGAACCCGAATCCGAGGTCCGTTGACCTCCATAATGTCAGCTTCGAGGTCATTGGAGGTCAAATAGGACATAAAATTTATTCAATAAATATTTTAAAAAAAGTTTGTTTTTGTTGTCACTGAAACAGAGTATGGAGGTCCCTTGATTCCTGAAGGTCATCTGGAGGTCATGCCATGGTCACCCCAAGGTCAAATTCCGATGAATTTTCAGGTTTATTCAATGAATTTTTCCCTACTTGACCTTCGAATGACCACGAACCTAACGTGGTGGAGGCTAACGGACCTTGGATTCGCATTCAGCATGTCGAATAACATAGGGATATATAGGTTTGGTTTAATATGCATACACTTTTTGTTTTGTAAACCTGTATAATTTTTATTTAACTTCGAACTATTTACATTTTATGCGATTTTTTTTCATTTGTGATCAAATTCTTTTTTAAAAAGTCTGCAACAGTTTGTTTGAATTCGTTTAGAAGAGGAACATACCTATGTGTCACAAGCCTACAAAATGCTTTCAAATAAAATATTTGCCTATTTGAAACTTTGAGGCGCTTAAAGCAAGTGAAGCAAAGCTGCCGTTTGGCCAGCCTTAATAAATTTTAGTATATTTCCAATAATTTTTGACATTTCTCAAAGCGAAGGAAGCAAATTTGCATTGGGCCAGTACTTTTATCGTGATTTCGTTTCTTCCAAAAAATGTTGCCGGTCCACAGTGAAAAATGTGTTTTATGCTACACTCAACCCTGTAAAAGAGCATGTTTTCGCCTTTTTGTCCTTGTCTAACTACGCATATCATAATATTGTTGTCATTTTAAGCAAGCATCTGATTTTCAGGGCAACCATCTCCCCTGACAAAGCTTCAAAGGGCACAGAATTTGCCTGTTTTGCCTTAAGTGTGTGACCAGTGTAGCGACTTAAAAAATCAATAGTGGTAAATTTTATACAGTTATACAGTAAAACCTACATAAGTACCTCACGATACTTAAGCGGGTTTCACTGTAGATAGTTTTTTACTCGTATAAGATAAATCAAGGAGTATTCATATAAGTTAGTGTTACCAGAGCAGATGGATTTTCGCCTCGGTGATTCTTTATGCAAACATGATGTGGTACATTTGTTGTAATTCTTACTGTCATTATGTGTAAAATTGGTTAGCGTAATTTTTTATTCGAGCTGTTTTCTCTCAAATGGAGATTTGCCTTTATAAAGAAGAAATAGGATCTGTACGTACATTCTCCATTTTACGGCTTTCTAGATATCGAGGATCTCCTGTAAAAGGCTAACAACTATCCCCTTGTTCGTAAAGGCAAACTGCAAATTGTCGTATTACTGCAAGACAAACATAATCTTTTATTCTTATGTATGTGTTTATGGATATGCCCAATTTTAGCAACGAAGTCCGAATTCGACATCTGACCGTGTTCGCGCATACTGAACATTTCCATCAATTATAGTTTAGAAATAAGCGGACTGACTGTTACTTTGCAGTAATGCGTTTATGGGAATAGAGAATTGGCAGGCACTTACCCAAGATGCATGAAAAGTCCGTCCGCTTTCAACGTATCGTCACTAGACACGAATAAAGGCGCCAGCTTCAGACTCGTAACATAGTTGACAGCGAAGAATGACGCGTTAAAATATTTGACGGCGAAGAAAGGCCCGTAAACGGGTGTAACAGTATGTAAATTCCCCAAAGAGTTTTTGTGGAATGACGATGAGTCCTTAGCCATTAGTACATCTGTGTTTACGCGTTTTTCTTCGCCGTCAACTAGGTTTTACGTCTTTCTTCGCGGAGGCTTTCTTTAAGCGTCTTTTTTCGTAAGGAATATTATTCGAATGTTAGTCCAGGGGTATCACGGAAAATAAAGCAGCGAGTAGTGTTAACATTTACCATTATGTGGTCTACTGATTAATTCCACCATGTTCCGTGATTCGAAATTTCAGATACAGGTATTTATTGTAGCCGAAGATAGAAAACTTGTACCCACTTTATATTATTAGGGAGTATGTTAATTCATAAAAAGAAGTTTGTTAATAATATAAATAAAATTTTAAATTTAATTTGCAGATCATAAAGTATCTATTTCCGAACTCTCCGCCATGAGTGTGGTACACAAGTGCACCTCGAAATTGCTCACCGCTAATATGAATACCACCACGAGGTTGAATATGCGATTTCATACACGAAACTATGGATCATCAAATGGCAACACGCTCCACAAACAAATCAATCCATGGAGTAGTAAAACAAACATTCGAATACAAAAATTCAACTATCATGACAGACGGCCACTTCCCGCGGTCTTCGCCTCATTCATTTTCTTAGTTTTAAGCATTTTTTGTGAGATCAAAGCGCAAACTCGAGATCCTCGGTTTTACTCACGTCCGGGTGTAAATGATTACAACTGGCCAAATCCAGGTGATCCTGATTATAGGTAAGAAAAATAAATTGGATTGCTAATCAAAGCTCCTTAACATTAAATAAGTTTTATTTAAGAACCTATATTTTTAATGATCGTCGTTATGGACATTATTTGCCTAACGGCTATGGCTCAAACTATCCCGGCAGGAATTCTCCAGGACAATACCCACAGGGAATGCCCAACGAAGAACGATTTCGGTTTGGTCCGGTAAGTTGCCATGAATAATAATCCATAAATATCACTGTATATGAATATTATTTCTTCTTATTATTATTTGGCTATGCAACCTTTCAAGCGATTTTCACCGAGTTGAATAAGTTAGGCCAATCGTTTCTCTTCTATACTTCCAAGTTACAAGTAAAGCCAAAAACTTCTCCACCGGGCCTACCCATCGCAAATGAGGCCTTTCTCTTACTTTCAGGGCTGGAGCATTTGTTCATCATAACTAACAAGCCAAAGGAGCCGCTGTATTTAATCGTCTGCGGTATTCGCCGTCGCCAACGCTCAAACGGATGCAAATCTTCCGCCAATTTTTTTTTTCTGTAAAATACTCTAAGGGTAGCCTCATCGGATGTTTTCATTCTCCATGCTTCTGCGCCATACACCAGCATCGGCATGATGAGTGACATACAGTGGGTTTTATACATACAGTGGGTTTTATACATCGAGCGAGGATACAATTTACTTCTCAATTAGCACTTATTGGCATTGATGATTCTGCATTGGATTGCCGGTGTTAATGCTGGTTCCCAAATAAACGAAGCTCTCTACTTTTTCGAAATAATAGCTGCCAACAGTGACGTGAGCGCTAAGGTGCGAATACGCTGACTCATTGGTTGACGACAGAAGATACTTTGTCTTGCCCTCTTTTACCACCAGACCAATTCGCTTTGCTTCCATAACCATCTTTGAGAAGGCAGTAGAGAGTCAAGTGCTGAACACATTGAAGACGACGAGCTACGGGCCACAGCTTCCAATTTGTTATCTTCATTATCTAAACGCTTTGTCGATGGCGACAAGAATTTTTTGAACGCGGCAGCGACGCAATGAATTTGTGTGAGTTTGACATAAAAGAAGAGGAACAACCTTATCAGTCAGTGGAAAAATAGAAAAAGATCTAATCTGGCCACAACCACAGTCGCCGCATAGCCCTGTCGTCGCCAAAATAATTATCTACATAAGAATAGGTGGGAAAAAAAATTTGCAGCTGTGGTCCGTAGCTCGTCCAACCCCGAGAAGGCAGAACAGAGATAGCCCTTGTTTTTACCGATAATATCGATGTCGTCCGCATACGCCAGCAATTGTACGCTCTTGTAAAGTATTGTGCCAGAACGATTCTGTTCTGCGGCTCTTATTATCTTCTCCAACATCAGACTAAAGAAATCACACGAAAGGGAGTTCCCTTGTCTGAAACCTCGTTTGGTATCAAACGGCTCGGAGAGGTTCTTCCCTATTTTGACGGAGCTGGTGGTATTGCTCAATGCCATTTTACACAGTCGTATTCGTTTCGCGGGGATACCAAATTCAGACATCGCGGCATAATGGCAACTTCTCTTCGTGCTGTCGAAAGCGGCTTTGAAATCGACAAATAGATGGTGTGTGTCGATCCTATTCTCGCGTGTCTTTTCCAAGATTTGGCGTATTGTGAATACCTGATCTATGGTCAGGCCTAAAGCCACACTGATAAAGTCCAATCAGTTCGTTAACGGTGGGCTTCAGTCTTTCGTACAATACACTCAATAAGACCTTATTACCTATGCTTAGAAGGCTGGGGTCGCCTTTGTGGATTGGGCAGAGCACACTGAAATTCCAGGCGTCGGGCATGCGTTCATCTGACCATATTTTGCATACGAGATTATGCATGCACCTCATCAGCTCCTCGCAGCCGTACTTGAATAGCTCGGCTGGCAGGCCGTCAGCTCCAGCAGCTTTGTTGTTTTTCAGCCGCGTAATCGCTATTCGTACCTCGTCGTAGTCAGGCGGTGGGGCAGCTACTCCATCATCATCGACTGGGGGCTCGGGTTCGTTTTCTTCACTACTTTCAGCGCTGCTACCATTCAGCAGGTTTTAAAAGTATTCCCTCCACAATTTAAATATATTCTGGACATCGGTAACTGGGTCGCCATTGTTGTTCTTACAGGAGTCTTGAAACCTTCCGTAAGTCGCCTAACTCTCTGGTAGAATTTTCGCGCGTTCTTCCTGACGGCCAGCATCTCAAGCTCTTCGCACTCACGTGTTTTTTTTTTTTTTTACTTATGTAATTCATTTATTTCAATATAAAGTATGAGCACAATAAGATCAAGATCTTTTGTAGTACAACAAATAGATTCAAAAGAATGATACATACTTACTACTAAATTGAAACGATTTATACAATATCAGTTTGGATTAACAGATAAGATAAGATAACTATTACATATAAATTATTGTATATTAGTAATATTCCTCTGCGCCAAATTGGCTGTAAAGAGGGTGCCTAAGATTAAGATTTTATCATTTTATCATACAATACAAACAAAAAAACTAACGTATAGTAGCAAAACGATCCGTGTTCAAAAGCTTTACATTAAAAAAAAAGAAACTTTACGTAAGAAGCGATTCAATATTTTGTAGTAAGTAACTCTTTATTTCGTTTTTAAAAACCGATACTCGTTCCAGTGTTTTAATAGCGTTCCGCAGTTTATTAAACTCATTTGGCCCGGCATACTCTACTCTTTGCTTGGATACCTCTAACCGACATCTTGTTACGTAGAGTAAATCACTGTTCCTGGTTGGAAATCCGGATTGATTGTTTTGGAATTGTAGGACATGGTAACCAAGGCCATGTAAGGTTTTATATACATAGATCAATAGCTGCTTTTTATATAAACGAGAAACTGGTAGTATTGATTGACCATACTCTCTAAATACACTCAAAGTGGAATGCCTTCTTGATAGATTAAAAACAAGTTTCAAAGCTGTGTTTTGGCACGATTAAAGAGATCTTAGATCGTTCATTTTATGGGCATAAACAATAGGAAGATAAGTTAAATGACTGTGAATAAGCGATTGGTACAGTAAGAGTTTAACTTTCTCTGTCAGCTTATGCTTAAATTTATAAAGTATCCCAATGCCAGCCGATAGCTTTGCTTTTAAGGCATCAATATGGACACTCCAGGATAAGTTCCGAGACAGATGCACCCCCAAATATTTAACAGTATCAACTTCCTTGATTTCATTATCCTCGACATAAACGCTAAATGACTGCTCGAACCTAGACATTACATGAGGCCTGAAACGAATTAGCTTAGTTTTCTTTGCGTTTAAGACAAGTTTATGTAAGCGCACAAACTCAGAAATTATAAGAGCATCGTGTTCTATCTGTACCTTTAGAACTTCAAGATGTTTGTAGGGATAAAACAAACAAATATCGTCCGCAAACATTATAAGTCACCCATTTAAGTTTAGATTTTTAATGTCATTTATGTACAACTTGAAAAAAAGAGGCCCTAGCACACTACCTTGTGGCACACCACAACTAATAGGACTCATACTACTTCTTTCCCCACATATTTCCACATATTGTTTCCTATTTGAAAGATAATCGGCTAGCAGGTTAAATTCTCTGTTTTTAATACCCAGCAAATCCAATTTATGCAATAAAACCCGATGATCAACAAGATCAAAAGCTTTACTAAAATCATAAAACAGCCCAGTTACTCCAGAAAACCCTCTGTCTAATCCCTCACAAATTATATTTAAGACATTGACCACAGCTTCTTCGGTACCGCAGCCTTTTTTAAACCCAAACTGATGAGAAAACATAACTTTTTCTGATTCTAAATAACATACTAATTGATCATATATAATTTTCTCAAAAATTTTGTCAACAGCTTTCGTAGTGTGAGTAACTTTTGGTATTGGTACAACTTTGTGAATTTTAAGAATATTCTTATTATTTTAAGAATTTTCTATTGAATCATTAAAGACTTTAGCCAGGTACGGTGATATTATGTCCTTCACTGCATAAAGAGCTGTTGGTGGAATGTTATCGTGACCACAGCTTTTATTAAGATCAAGATTAGACAAGGCAACTTCGATATCAGATGTGCCCACCGCACTTAATAGAAAAGTATTTTGAAGTTTCGACGACATTCGAAAGAGAATACATGGGTCCCCGTTTTGTTCTTCTATATTACTCCGCAGTTGATACACAGATTCTAAAAAAAAGTGGTTGAGAAATGTTGCCTTTTCCAAATTATTTATCAGCGAAACATCGTTACGATCTTTAAATACAAAAGAGCCTTTCTTTTTCCTGCCCAAAATGGTGTTAAGAAAACCTCATGTACGTTTTGAATCCGAACTAAGCTTTTCTAGGTTAGAAGCATAATAATTATTCATCGACAATCTTTTTGCAGTCTTTATGACCACACTTATTCTTTTCAACCTTTCTTTACAGCTTTTTTCCAAGGGGGCTTTCCTCCGAGCCTTCAAAAGCTTGCCTTTTAATTTAAGTAGAGACTGGATACTTTTATTAACCCACGGTGTAATCTCATAGCGCAAGGATTGTTTATGCCTTATTTCAGTCGTACTGGATTCTAATGCACTGGAAATGTCACCTAGAATAACCCCCGTTAAGAAAGACGGATCCACTGTGTCCTAACATCTTTCCTTTTCCTGCAACTGTTTTCTTAAACGTTCATAGTCGACATGATAAGGGATCTTCTCTAAATAATGATTTACTCGATACTCAAGTTTTAGGTTACAGCATAATAAATTATGATGTGACAACTCACATTCAATAGAATCCACAGGGAGTTCTTTTGTTATATTACTAAAGATATTGTCTATTGATGCTCCACTTGCCGGACGTGTAACTAACTTGTGACGGTTGTGAAAACCATACATAGTGAACATATTAGTCAAAGACATGGAAGAGGAACTAGCATTTAGCAAATCAATATTTGTATCACCAACATACACGGAAGCGTTGTTTGCGTTAGTTGATAACAAATCCCCAACAATTTTGATAAACGTTTTATCAGAACATTTTTGTGATCTATACATCGAAACAATACAAAGTGGTTTGCCTTCAATCTTAACTTCGTTGAGTGTAATAGATATGTAGTTTACGTAGTTTTCACTAAATGCTCTATTAACTGTGTAGTTCAAATTTGATCTAATGTAAATCGACGTCCCAAAGCCATCCGTTCTACAAGAGTGTACGC